CTTGACTCATACATATACTAGATATTACAAATAAGGAAAACCATGGGACCTATGTTTCTTTGGGCCTGGCTGTGAGACTCTTATTACCAAAAAACTACTCAGAAAAAGCTGTAAGTGGTGCTGTGGCTCAAGTGGTAGAGTACTAGCCTTGAACACAAAGAGGCTCAGGGACAGCATCCAGGCCCTGAGTTCAAGCCCTAGGACTGGCAAAAAAAACAAAAACAAAAACAAAAAACAAGCTCTTCTCCCCAGATAAAATGAATATACTTTTTTTAGTGCTACTGAAGTCTTATTCTGCATCAAATTCTTCTCATATGCAATCTATAGTTTTGGCAAATTGTAGAAACTCATTGTTTAAGCCCCTTTCATTTATTTCTGCCTTAGATATTTCTCCCATTTTAGCCACTGTCTACACACTGATTGGGGATATTAATCCCTTTTTGGGTTATTAATGTTAATCAAAGGCAAAGGCCTTTTTGAGGTGATGTAGGATAGTAGTTTTAGATATGGGCTTTGAAGACTGTCTTCAGCCTGAACCTGACTCTGACTTTCAGACTGAATACTCAGAATCATCTGGTCTTCCAGCAATTTAGACACCTGGAATGAGCTGTCCTGCTTCTGATTCTCCACATATAGTCTTCCTTCATGTAGCAGAAGCACAAAGTAATGTCACCTAAGATGTCTTTAAATAACAATTACCATAACATTAACTACCACCACCACAGCAATAATAATAGCTCATAGTTACTGAGCACTTACTATATGATTTTATGGATTAATATTATTTCAATAACCATGAGAAGCTGTTATTATCTACAAGTTATAGGCAAGGAAACATGGGCCAGGAGTGGTTAACTTCTCCACCACATATAATAAGTGGCAGAGGCAGGTTTTGACCCCAAATAAATCTGATTTAACCTGCACTCTGCTAGTTTTCAGATACTGTTTCATGCCACTCAGATAAATTTAAAATGAATTCTCCAATATATTTTAATGACATGCATTTTTTCAAGTCAGTAGGATTGATATTCGGATGCTTCCCAAGCAATAGTTCTGGGGCTTTGGCATTTCATTGGCTATTAAAATTCAACTGAAGGGCTGGGAAGGTGGCTCAGTGGTAGAGCACTTGCCTTGCATGCATGAGGCCCTGGATTCCATTCCTCAGCACCACATAAGCAGAAAAAAAAAAAAAAGAGCTGGAAGTGGCGCTGTGGCTCAAGTGGTAGAGTGACAGTGAAGAGCTGAGGGACAGCGCCCAGGCCCAGAGTTCAGGCCCCACAACCAGACCCCCTTCCCCCCAAAAAATTCAACTGAAGATCCTGACAACCAACTCAGATTTGATAACTTGAAAATTTAACAAATAAGGCTTTTAAACATCAAGCACCCCATTATCATTTGCAATTAGTGCAAAATAAAGGATAATTTAATACTAAAAAAGTAAAATGATAGTATCTAATACTACGTGTATTGATATATTTTCTATTTCCCACTTGGTTGAGGAGAAAAATATTAGAACAATATTTTCCTTCCATTCTCTTCCTAATAGGCTAAGCACCTTACCTTTACAAGTACAACAATTTCAATTTTATTTTATTTTTTGGCAGTACTGGGGTTTGACCCCAAGGTTTCCCTTTTGTTAGACAAGAGATCTACTGGCTCTACTACTTTAGCTACACACCCAGTCTAAGAACTGTCTTTTAATCTGGAAGTTAATAGTGCTATTAATTGAAAAAAAAATTGTCAGTTGTGGGGCTTGAACTCAGGGACTAAGTGTTGTCCCTTACTTTTTTTTTTCTTTTGCAGTTGTGGGGCTTGAACTTACAGCCTGGGCATTGTCCTGGAGCTGTTCTGCTTAAGGCTAGGATACTACTTTGAGCCATAGCACCACTTCCCTATTTCTGGTGATTAATTGGAGATGAGTCGCACTGACTTTTCCTGCCTGGGCTGACTTTGAACCATGATCCTCGGATCTCAGCCTCCTGAGTAGGATTACAGGTGTGAGCCACTGGTGCACTGCAAAATTCCTTCTTTTATAATGAAAGGAGGAACACTAAGTGGCCAAATGACAAGAGTCTGAGAGACTTTGCTTGAGATCTTTGAATTTTGAAATGCAAAAAAAGTTTTAGGAAATAGCATTTCTTTTATTTCAGTGCATTAAAATGATAATTTTAGGTAGCACAAGTGTATAAATAGGGCCTATGTCTTTTACATCTTTGATTCCCCCAGAGTCCAATGGTGGGTTTTTAATCGTGTTTTTAACGGTGTCACCTAAGTAGAAATCTACATGCGTGAAGACTTCATGAATTTTTTATTGACAATGTGAAATGAGAAGGCTCAGTGCTCTCCATCTGCACTTTGAATGTAACCACAAACTGAATTATGTATACATGAAAATTACGAGAAAGTATTTTTAGTTGAGAGTGTATAAGACTTTGTTTCTTCTTCTAACTTTAGGCAAGTTAAATTTGAATATTTTACTATTATAATTTGTTACATTTAACCTCAATTACATGAAAAATTCATTAAGTCCATTATAATTCCTACTTGCTTCGAGCCTATTAGCACGACCCTTTTGCGGTAGTCTGTTACATAATGCTACTAAGAAGCTCTCTGTGTTGTACTTTTTTCACTGTACTGTACTAGGTCAATAGATCAAAATACCTTAGGCGGCACTGTCTGGGTGTATCCACAGGATCGGATGCCTGAACTCCAAACAGTGTTTCTCAAGCAGGGATTCTCCCCGTTCCCTTTATTTACTTTTATTAAGTAGTTGTACCAAAGAGTTACAATTCCTCGTCAGGTTAGGAGCACAATGATACTTGGTCAATGACACCTCCTTCGTTCTCCCCCAAGGATTCTCCTCCTTTGAGAGCTGGAAGTTACAAAGAAAAAGAACCTAATTCAGGATTGCTCTCAGTACAAAGGATGGAATTCTCATCCATCCTTCCAGAATTTTGCTTGGGGGCATGACAGAATGAAAAACTTAAATCCATGACAAATCGGAAACTTTTAGCTTCCGCGAAAGGAATTCCCGCGAGGCATTTTGTTTCCTCCCATAGGAACAGCAGGCGCTGTCTGCAGGGCCATAACGGGAGCAGTGCGGCCTAGAGGAGGAACCGGGGGCCCAGGACCTAAACTCTTAGTTCTAATAACGCGGGTATGAGGATCCGGTGTGACACAACGAACATTTTCATTTTATGAGGCTCAACCTGTTTTTGTTCCTTTGGGCTGTGTTTTGGTGAAGGAACCAGGAAACGGAGACACGGCCCGAACCGCTACCAGCACAGCCCGAACAACCAGCCGCATTCTCGGAATCCGGATCCAGCTGTATCTACTGGCGTGGGATGATGACGTATCTCTGCACCTGGCGATGATTGGTTTTCGACGAGGGGCGTGGGCTGCCAACCGGGCTGGAGCAGTACCTAGTCTAAGTTATCGCGAGATCTGAGGGGTCGGTGCGGGATGGCTGCGGAACCGGGCGGAGCTGGTTCGTGGCGTCCGGAGCCGGCTCACGGGCCCCAGACATGGCCCGGGGTCTCAGCCCGCTAGGCCGGCCTCGCCTCAATACGGTCGCCATGCCCAAGAGAGGAAAGCGACTCAAATTCCGGGCCCA